AATGAGTAAACCCCTAGCGCTTATGACGAAGAAAAGGCAGCAGCAGCAGGCGAGGAAGATGGCCGCGAAGCAAATGGTGCAACCGATCAGAACAGCAAAGCGTCTCGCCGATAGCCGTAAAAAAACACTCTTCGAGAGGCATGCGACAAAAAGCGTGCAAGCTATGGCGAGATTGGGAAGCAAGGCGAGGAGGAGAAGGAACAAGCATGCTACGTTTCACGCAAGCGCAAAGGGCAGGCTCGGCGGGGCAGGTAGAGGCAGTATGCATGATGCCCGGCTTCGGAGTGTTCAGGCACCGGGGTACAAATGCAGAACTGAAAGGGTGTCGTTTCTCAGCAACGTTACCACTTCCTCCTCGTCCCTCTGTTCCTCCTCCACGTCCCAATCGGCGAAGAAGTCCATGTCGTCCGCCGAACCACTCAGCCCTTCGCAGTTTGCGGAAAAAACGGTCGCTTCGTCAGCCAATCTCCGTCCGCACGGTGGTTTGATGAATAGAACCCCTGCGCTCTATTCTGATATAGTCGCGATGCGTGCCCAGGAGCCACAACCTTCCGATACAAGCTATTGCTGCTATCCACCTATTTATGTCCATCTATCCTACGATCAGGAAGAAGGCAACAGAAAAAAGAAAAAAAGAAGAAAAAAAGAAAAAAAGAAAAATGGGAAATGGAAAAAAGGAAAAGGAAAAAAAGAGGGGAGGAGGGGAGAGGGAAAAAAGGAGGGGGAGGAGGAAAGGAAAAAAGGACGAAATAGCGGGGGCAAAGAAAGGTTAAAAGCAAACCCAGACCACAGAACTAATTCTCGTCACACCCAGAGGCTTGCCTAGTCCCTCGACCTTATTCGTTATGACCCGAGAGCGGGCTGCTCCCACAATTTTTAAATGGCCGATTCCCATCGTCCAAGGTTTTATCGATTCGGCAGGGGCTCTGTGACCCCGTTATCACTATGATCCTACGAAAAGAACAGCAGGAAAAATGGAAAAAAGGAAAGAAAGGGGAAAAGGAAGAAAAAAAGGAGAAGAAAAAAAGGAAAGAAAAGAAAAGAAAAGAAAAAATGGACAAAGGGAAGAAAAAAAGAGGGAAAAAAAGGAACAAGAGAGAGAGTGGGGAGAGAAAAAGAATGCACTTTCCCAGTCCCGTGAGCTCGCACAGACATCCATTGTCGCTCCTTCTGTGTGTGTGTGTGTGTGTGTGTGTGTGTGTGCACGCGCGTGGTGGATGGCGGGGGGATGGGGCGACCCCTCCCCCACCACTCAATCAATCAATCAATCAATCAATCAATCAATCAATCAATCAATCAATCAATCAACAAAAAAAAAAAAAAAAAAAA